AAAAAGACTTGGAAAATTGAACAGGTTTGCGAGCGCGAGGAGAATGCTAGTAGCAAAACTGCTGCAGAAAATTGGCCAAGATAAGCCAGGAAATAAGAACTCGAGCACTGGATAAGGGCTTGTGGAAGATTAAATCGGACGTGGGCTCATTTCTTGTGCGCTCCCAGAATCTTTCTGCTTAGATTCAAAAAACGAAATCTTTGTGAGTGGCCGTCGAAATATTTCCTTCGGAACATCACGCTTGGAATCTTTGAAGTTCCTGGCATCGTGGTTTTGATGAGTCGCCAGGATTTTCTTTTTGTATCGCTTCAGCTTTCAATAGTCCATATGAATTGATAAATAGACGAACAAATCAAATTGAAATATTATCAAAAGAGATTCTCGGCCATGAGTTTTATTCACACAATAGAAACATTTTCTATGAAAATAGATTGATAGATCCAAATAGAATAATTATTTGGTATTTTTTAAAAGATTCTAAACCTTGCTATATGCGAAGAATCCTTCGTAACAGCCTCATCCAAAACAGTCCATTATTTATACGCTCAACATTAATGCATTAGAATGAGTGACCACAGCAAAATATCTGTTGCTGCAGTCTATCCCTCATGATCACCTCAGTGATTTATTTGGTTCAGTTTTCCCCTTCATCGCAGATAAATAATTTGCATCTCATTCTTACTGATGGCAGCGGTCCCTGCGGCAAGGGTTGCGATTTTTAAGAATTTCATAAATTTGTTAAAGCTAAGCATTGCCAGTATTGTGAATTCTATGTGCTGAAATTAAAATTAAAAATTTCATACTTTTATTCAGAATTGACACCGAAGCCTGGCGGGTATCTCTCAAGTAAACAAAATAAATCATTTTGCCGTGCGTGCAAATGCAGAGAGTATACATTACTATAAGAAAGCTTATCCATGTCCTATTAGTCCAAAAAAATAATTACAATTAAATATCGAATTGGTAATTAAAATAAGAATTATACTGCAAAAATGGATGACACGCGATCAACTTTTGCTCCTATATCAGATCAAACTTCCTACTAAAAATCTGAATTTTGTCTCATCTACTTTCCTTCATAAGGAGCTACACGAGACTGAGTTCAACATAATAAAAACGTCGCATACCAACATAAACTCCACATTTTGTTCATACCACACGGCCCGCCACAACGAACCGCCTCTCAGCGGCGCAAGGAATCAACAACTAAAAGTGTTAATTTAATTTGGCCGCGGCGACTCCCAAGATACGTGGGATCTGAAGAAGAGTTGTAAAGTTAAGGCGAATATTCAGAACCTGCTGATGTCATTAGTTCACTAACTCGCTTCAGATGACTGCCAGCCGTCGTGTCAGAGCAGAACTCAAACGCAAGCGATGAAATGAAGCTTGATTTTTACTGTACATAACTCGGGAGCCATTATATTTTCTAGAATTTAATCAATGCAATCGTGCAGAGACAAGTTAGTGGTAGTTTATAATTACTTAGTGAAGGTAATTTATTGATGTCACTTATTTGCTTAAATCGTAAGTTGACTAAAAATTTAAAAGCAAAGAATATTCCACAAAAATTCAAATCTTTATAGAAAACTTTATTATTATGCCAACATTCGTAGGTCAGAGTTATTTAGTTATTATTCGTTAGTTAGTTAGTTAATTATTAGTTAGTTATGATTCCGTGTTTGTTTTTATTCCTTTTCTTAATTTTGATGCGGTGATTAAAAATAAAAATTTCATCCAATCGCTGTCATGCCATCAGATTGTAATCTTAACTCAATCTGAAAAATCAAATTCCAAGCCCTTGTTGTACAGAAAGTAAATCGCATTTGGGTGTATGTATTCCATAAAAAACTGAAATATCTTCTCGAAACTATTTACTATTTTATTATTACTCCCGCTTGAAACAATTTTAGAATTACCTTATCAATAATTAGAATTTTTTCCGCAAGCGGGAAGACTAAATAGCCTAAACGCACAGGATGATCTTCTTATTGTCACTTATTCAAGTGATTGACTTCAAAGCCTAAAATTAGGCAGGGTTTTGTTTCTATTTAGTAACCTTATACATCTTATCTTAATCACTAGAAAACCACTTCTGTATAAAATACTCTAAATTTGTTCCAAGGTTCTTAGCCACTTAGTCATTCCTTACTGACTATTTTGTACGTATTAAATCTTGCAGCACATTGCGTTGGCTGGGATTTGAAACGGTGTTCCAGCTCGTGTTCACAAGTTTTCGGCCAGATTGCCGTGATTTCAGACAATGTCTGCCGTGCGGCAATTACGGCCATTTGCAAATCATACTCGACTTTTATCGGCTTGTCATGCACAAATTACTCGAATAAATTCCGATCCAGGGGCCATACTTTCAAAACTCTCTAAGTGAACGTAAGTACTTACGTTCTATTTTCTTGTCTATGATTGGTGGATTTTTCTGGAAAGGCCGTCAATGATTGGCTGATGAACTTACGATATCTTAACTTTTTTTGAAAGTATAGGCCCTGGTTACGTTTCCACACAACAGCTGGCACGGTGAAGGTAAACGAGGAGTAAATGGCAATGTATTTTGTGTAAACTTTTCAATTAAACCACGCATTACCTATAGTAAAAAAAGCATCAATAATAATCCCGTTACCATTTCCTTTGGCAATAATAAATTCCAATCATTCAAGATTGAGGAAGCTGTGAAATAACTATATTAAAAAAGAAGTGGAAAACATTTCGAAAAAAAATTATTTATAATTTAATGTTAGAATGAAAAGTTTGGAGGAATGCGTGATTAGAGCCCAAAATTCGTATTAAATTTTCAAAAATTATTATAGGAGTTTTTCGCCAACAAGAAGAAATTATTTGCAAAATGAAAAAGTTCCTCGGAATTCTGCATACGTTACTAGTTTATCGATTTCAAATTGATAGGTGGATTTATTTGTTTTTTTGATAAGTGAATTTGTTGTTTTTTGTTGTGTCATGTTGACAAAATTTTGTGACAAGTAGAATAAAGATTGTAATTTTCATGACAATATTTATTCCAAAGACCAAATTCAACTTCCAAATTATTTCTTATTGCATCTTCATAAGTGTTATAAAATAAATTTTACGAACCTTCAAACTAACGAAAAATAGTTTTTTAACATAAAGTCACTTTTTGTCGTGGATATCCTAATAATTTTCTAGCCTGACGCTGGAGGATTATGTGAACTTAAGAACAAGTTCCTATAGAGCGAATCTTATATGTAGAAATTTAAATAGCTTCTCATTACATCCATTAATTCGTACACACGAATAAGCCAAGACTGGGGTAAAATGTGTCTCTGGTGAAAGGGCATGTGAAAATAGGAAAAAATAGAACATAGATTTACACTAGCGCTTATTGGGTAACGAGATATCGATCTGTGAAATATTAATTAATAGTCAGTTCATTGATGTTATTTGAAATTGTCAAAAATTTTGTCCATAAAATTATGAAAGATTCAAGGTAGATGTGAAATTGTATTATGGAGGATGAAGTAACCATAATGCCGAACCTTATCCACAAAACTGCGCAGCCAAAATACTTGAAATTTCAACGACTTGAGTGCGAACAATTGTTTCGTCTTAATATAGACTAACTAATGACATATTGTCAGACTAATAAGCAAAAAGTTGAACCTGCACGAAAGATTTTATAAGATTTCGATTGGCTGTCTCGATTGTAGCAAGTTACTGATTTTCAGAATTGCGTTGCCGATTATAGCAAGTCACATGTTTAACATTTCCAGAAATAGACATTGATACGTACATACGAAAACTAAGCAAGAATTTCTTCAGGAATTTCAAAATTTTTTAGCCAATGCGCAGCGTCTTCCCGGCTTTTCGCGAATGGTTCCCCCACGTGGCCTTCATAGAGGATAAATTACCGCGCAATTTTCCCCGTCAGAGCTGTTAAATGAGTTTTAATTCCTACTTCACTTCGTAATGAAGATCTACTTGCTGCTTCGTCTGGAGTTTGAATTCTTGAACCGTTTTTTTTTTTTCTTGGATGAAATGAAAGCAAGTGCAATCCCTCATAAAGGACCACTTCAAGATCCCTTACCTCACACGAGGGAAATATTCAACTGATTTTTTTTCAATAATGCAAAACGTGAAAGTCCGTGAAAGATGAATACAAATTATATCAGAATTTTCAAGGTGCAAATTTTTCTTACGTATGCAAAAAATTTTTTAAAAGAACTCTCACTTATATAGCTTGAGAAAATGTCCTCTATGTTGGACTGTAGCCTCGGTGGAAAGTAAAGATTTGAATTAAGAATTTAATTCAATTCGTATGAGTAATTTTAATGGTGACACTCATTTCAGTTCAGGAAAAACTTTACCGACAAATTATAGAAGCGTTAAAAATGTTATAGAGTACAATTGAAGTGGAATTTTTTCATCTTTAATTGTGAACGAAGTTATATATCAAAGGAACACTTCGTTTATTCTATGAAAAAAAAATTTCTCGTCAGACTTCAACTGTCAATTACACGTCATTGCGCCATCGATCACACGTCTGTTTTCATTTACGCCCTGCAAGAATGTGACGTCGACGCGGAAGAGCGCGCAAAATGTAACAATTTCATGCAGGTAGGAGAACGCTCAACGCCCCCGATGAGTCGCCCATATTTGTTTGGAGATAAAACACTAGGTGAAGATTTAGGCGAAAATATGAAAACTGAGGTCATAATTTAGGAAAATTTTAGCAAAGTTAATATTTATGCTTCAACATTAGTACATATAGTAAATTAGTTCATGGATAAGAGTGAGTCAGCGCAAACCACAAACCTGGTCTAGTGTAACGAAATATTTCTTGCACACCTGAATAATAATCAGAAATAGTCAGGTTGGCAGTGAACTTAGAAATGCCATAAACTAATGAGACTAATTAAAATATTCGCTATGTGCGGTTGCGATAATCAGTGATTTTCAAATTGTTATCTTACCGTAGCCACGGTTCTGACTAAGGGTAAGAGGCAGGCAGGGTGAGGTCAGTGGCTACGAGGGCTCTGGGTGTCCAGGATGATGGTCGGGACGGCAGGCAGGGTGAGATCAGTGGCTACGAGGGCTTTGGGTGTCCAGGGTGAGGGTCGGGACGGCAGGCAGGGTGAGATCAGTGGCTCAGAGGGCTCTGGGTGTCCAGGATGAGGGTCGGGACGGCAGGCAGGGAGAGGTTGCTGGCTATGAGGGCTCTGGGTGTCCAGGGTGACGGTCGGGACGGCAGGCAGGGTGAGATCAGTGGCTACGAGGGCTTTGGGTGTCCAGGATGAGGGTCGGGACGGCAGGCAGGGAGAGGTTGCTGGGTCCGAGGGCTCTGGGTATCCAGGGTGAGGGTCGGGTCGGCAGGCAGGGTGAGGTTGCTGGGTCCGAGGGCTCTGGGTGTCCAGGGTGAGGGTCGGGACGGCAGGCAGGGTGAGGTTGCTGGCTCCGAGGGCTCTGGGTGTCCAGGATGCAGTCGCAGAGCGCAGGTGTCCTGCCCTAAAGCTTAGGCAATATGGCCGCGCGCTGTCTAATAAGCCTCGGCCAGCTTGCTCACGGCATTTTACTGCCGATAACTCCTGCCTAATCTTAAGGAATGAATGGTTTTACTGCGCTACTTTCACGACAAAAATGATACTTTTCAAGGTCCCAGCTTTAACAAGTTCGAGCGAACACTTGAGCGTAGTTTGCAAGATATTTGGTGCAGCTTAACTCCTGATCAACGCATATTTTCCATGTCCTTACACAATCTGTAATTTTCCCACGATCGATATTTAATACTAAAAAAAATATAACTCAGTACTCACTGAAGTGAGTGACAGAGAGCGCATTTTCTCGTCGACGAAAACTTGAGGTCACGGACGGACGGACTGACGGACGGACAGACAGACAGACAGACAGACAAGTTACTAATTTTATTCTTATCCAGCGCTTTGACTGACTCTCCTTCGCCAAAAAAATTGTTTCATAGGTTCCTCCGGCAAGCCTGAATGCATAGCGAATGGCAAAATAGTTCAGTAAATTTGAAACTTCTCTAATTTTTATATATGTAAAATGTTTAGTGCAAAATTAGTATTGGAAGATTTAAAAATAATAACATTCGGGGAAGTCTTTAAAAGTAATCAACACAGTAAACATTTTATACCTTCATATTAACATTTCTTCAACTAATATAATTTGGCACAATAATAAGTGAATTCTAGGAAACTAAAATATATGATAATTGAAGCTTAAGTTACTAATTACGATTTCAAGTTTATCATCATTAAATTTTGTTTAACAAACACACACTTCTAGTCTTGTGTTTGAATCTATTGCAGATTTTTGTTATATAAACCATAAGGACCATAAAACCAGAATTCATATTAAGCCTCTTAAATGTTTTTTCGCAGGCTACATATAAATCATTTACAAAAACCTTCATAGTTATTCAATAGTCTCATTCGAATTATCAGATGGAGTCTTCAACCGCCACCTTTCTGTCAATCGACGAATTTTGTGCCGTCATCCCTGTTGACAGCCCAATAATGTTGTCTGTCTACGCCCGTCGACTGCGTGCTCATTGCCGTCTGTTTTCTCTTCAAGCTTCTGTCAGCCTGCGTCATCATTTGCGAGGCTCTGAAGCCCTCATCTTATGCTTCGAGAGACTTCGAGTGCATGAACTTAAACTTCAATTTTTCAAAAGATATTCACTTTAAAGCTTGAGCTACAATTCGTGGAAATCATATTCTGGTTTTTGTGAGTGAATACATTTTTTTTCTTAGTCAATTATACGTTTTTATATATACCGCTTTTTCAAGTGCTCATGATTTATTAGTAACGCTTCCTTGAATGTTAACACAAGAAACATCGTATATATCGAGCATTACTGAGTAAATGACAATAAACACATTTTGACCTTGATACAGCGGTTGTATCATGTATTTGATGTTATAAATGCAAATGGCTAACAAAATTTCAAATAGCAAATATTCTAACTCTAAAAACAAACACCGACGTTTGTTATAGCGTTACTTTCGAGATACATGATGAAATCCCACGTACAGTTTTTAACATTGATTTTATGCGCTTGAATTGCTGCTGCCAAGCACAAATGACAACATTACTGACCATCTTCATAGCGGTCGACGTCTCGTTCATGCGTGACTGGCGAGCCATTGGTGGCCAGCAGCAGGAGTGGCCATCGATGATGAGTGGCTGGTCTAGCAGATGCTTGCAGGGGTAACTTACGCAGGGTGGAGCTAGGCTCGTTTGTCATGCGCTGGGTGGTGATCTGTCGTCTGTGAGTCAACACTTCATCAGTCAAGTCAGGCCTTGACTTTCATCGTTATTGATTGCCAAGTTAAATCTTTTAGGAAACTTGCACAATCTTGGATAAGTTTTTCAAACACCGAAATTTCAAGTTTTAGTGTCTTAAATTATAGAGTATTTCAACAAAAAACTATTGACCATGTGCATGTAGTTTATCGTAAGATATAAGATACACAGTCGGTATTGTTCTTAGATTTCCCTAATCCATGTATATCTAGCATATTCGTTCCTCTATTACTATAACAAAGCTATGTCACTAACTTTTATTCCTAAAAATTATGTCACTTTTTTGCGCAATATTTACCAACCATGCGTTTAGTCTACATTTGATGGGCCCAGCTGGTGCTGCGAGTGATGACCATTATCATTTATAAATCTTCATTCCCCAATGATGATATTTCCCGAAGCAAAATATCAGGATTTAGTGAAATAAAGTTGTACACAAGTTAGTGACGAAGGATAGTAACACATTGTCAAATCTAGGCACGAATACTCACTATATACTGTACTTGTGCGATTGCCGATTTTGCTTCGTGAATGTACTATACCAATTGTGATGGAATGCATGTTTTATGCGTCGTATCGCAGCAGTCTAATCGTACTATATACGCTAGTACAAACAGACATCATTGATTCGTTGGCGTATGGAATATTGAACAAGGTCTGGTTGACCGGCCAGTAAGCAAAGGAATATCTTGCCCCTCTTAATTGTCTTATTAACATGCTAGCATATAAAGACGATAACTATATGTAATTGACTTTTCATTATATAAGGTAAGATATACTAGCTATGTCGTATTTCTATTTGCGAGAAGTAGGGTATGATACAAATAACCGTTGGATTGATTTGTCCAGCATGCAAGGTAATACTGGACTAGACCTTGTTGAAAGGCTCAGCATGCAAGGTAATGCCTAGCACTAGGCCTTGTCGATATGCCCGGTGTGCGAGGTAATGCCCAGCACCAGGCCTTGTTGACATGCCCGGTGTGCGAGGTAATGCCTAGCACTAGGCCTTGTTGACATGCCCAGCATTAGAGGTAATACCTAGCACTAGGCCTTAATAACATGCCCAGCCTTAGAGGCTATGCTAGCACTAGGCCTTGCTGAATTGCCCAGCATTAGAGGTAATGCCTAGCACTAGGCCTTGTTGATATGCCCAGTATCAGAGGTAATGCCTAGCACTAGGCCTTGTTGAGATGCCCGGTATGCGAAGTAATACCGAGCACTTGGTCCTGTTGACGTGTTCAGTAAGTGAGGTGATGCATTGCTCTAGGCGTTATTGACAAGCCCACTTCTCAACATTTGAGGCAGACCTTCACCAGACCTCGTCAGCATTATCAGCATGCATGGTTATGTCTTGCACTAAGCCTTGTACCTCCTTGTCATGCCCAGCATGCCTGGGAGTGCCTTATCCCAGGCCTTGCTGTCTCGCACCTTGCGAGTATCTCGCTCTCGGCAAGTCTATTTGAAGGCAGTGAATGAGCCACGCGTCGTCGTTGCGATCGCGTCGAGGTGTCAGCGTCGTATGCTAATGCGAATCTGGGCTCCTTAGCTCTCCTAACGAGCTCGGCGAAACTCGAGCTCTCACAGCCGACTTGGGACCGAGAGGAAAGGCGTGCAGGAGACGAGGAGGGGACATGGAATGACTGAAAGGAGCACATGGAGACATAAATTTCAAAGAGGTAATTCAAAAGTAGGCGAAGAACGTTGTAGATCTGGACACTATCTTTAGCCATATTTAATATACGGTAGATTTGATAAAAATACGTCAAAAAAGTAAGGGTAAATATTCATATGACTGAGATCTATGAGTGAATGAAAGAAATAGAATATAATTGCAGGAACGATTCATGGATCTACTGGTCTCATAGCGTGGAGTGGAGTGATAAAGTTTATACTGTACAAGATTGAAATTAAATGCCCTGGAGGCATAAAAACAGATTTCGTAACATTTATGTGATGCAACTCAAGTAGCGAGAGCGAGAAACTAGGACGGGTCGCCATCGCTTTGACAACAATCCTGCGGTATACTCATGCATTGACGCATAAACTATGTATAGTATGTAACTAAAGTTTAAAAAGTAACATACTTAATTCAGCCAGAAGCTAATCACTTAAACATTGACGTTGAGAATACTTGAAAACATTGTCAGGACGAGATAAGTATAAGAAATGGATTTGAATTGATGAGCATCAACACTCGTGTGGAAAGAATCCATGTTTGCATCAAGGTATATATGAACTTTGGATAGGTTTGTATAGGACTTTTCTGACTTTCGTATATTATCTATAAATTAAAATGCTAAGTTAGAAAACTAATGTTATGTTATATAATAAAAGACAAGCCCTTCGTCCAGGGATGCAGCATCCTTTTGGGATGCAAAACAATATTTGAGGCTCGCAGGAGCGCGCAGGACGACGACCCCCTCCACCTCACATCGTTAACTGGCATTCATCCATCAAACGCCCCTGCCTTCCATTGGGAGCAAACCCCTGCCGTGGCGAGTGAGGGAGCTTGTAGAGGTAATCATTTTTTAGCATTTTCTCTTGTAAAGAATCGAAAAGGAATGAGGCGGAAAAGTAACGATAATCGATGCTGACCCCATCGTGCCTATGGGATTCGTTAGGCCAGCTTCCAGAGATGAATCTACAGCTGGAAATATATTTCTGTTGTAATTATAGTGAAATTTACTTTCAATTTCGGTAAATTTTAAGTACTGACTGGACCTTGCAATGATACTCGGTTCCTATGAAATGAAATATCATTAAGTTCTATCACATGTACATACCTATGGAAGACGTTAGGCTTCTTTTACTAACAGATAACCTTTTACCATTATCACTGCTTATCACTTTTGATCTTGCTCTTCTGAATCTTTCATAAAGGCCGTAATGCCACAATCAAGTTCAATGCAATATCTTTGGAGACCATCCATTAGCAGATCGTCGGCCGACCATAAATCGCATATGATTTTTCGAAAAAAAATCAACCGAAAGTCACGTCACCGTGTAACACTGAAAATAACGACCACCCCCTGCTTATAACAACAACGCTGACGCTCACCATTGACCACACTCAACAACGTCTTCTCACATCACCACTGGAGCACGTCACCAGCACACTTCATCATTCATCGTAGGCTATTATTAGATTCCAGTTCCATAGTAAATTTGATGGATTTATGTTGCGAATTTAGGTAATCGAAAAAGAGTTTAACGTGAGAAGGATGCTTAAAAAGTAAAAAAGCGTCATCAACGTATCTGTTGTAGAATATTGGCTTAAAATCAAGAGGGCAATTGGACAGCCAGGAAACACGAGTGATATTATTACTGAAATATATTTAGATTTGACTTCTAAATGATTCCCATTTTTAAGTTTTTATAGAAACACTCGTATATATCATTGATATTTTCTTATAACAACGATCTTTTCTGCATAGAATAATTCCAAAAAGTCCTAGCAGTCGAGAAAATCAGAGGCGTCGCGGCAACAAGGATGACCGCCGCCCTAGGATGCCAGGGGCTGCTCGGTGGGGTGCCCTGGCTAGGGTGAGCTCGCAACCCTATAAAATAAATAAGTTGTTATCCCCAAAGAATATGAGATGAAGTATTGCGCGGAGATATATGATATATTCATACCACACGAATAAATACCATCAATAAAATTATGAAGATTATCAGGAGAGAACAGATAAAATGGAAAATGGTGTAGCGCGCGAATTCGTGCAGTTGCTCCGTGAGGTTTTATAAAAATATTGTTATTGTTAATTTGAGGCACCCTGATGCACAGCCTTTGTGGAGAGAAGAAATTAACGAAGTACTAAACAAATTGATACATATAGGTGATCGATGAAGTGGAATGACTAATGCTCCGTACAGCGGAGGCCATTACGAAGCTTCCTGCTGCGCATAACATTTTACCGTCCACCAGCCAACACCGACGCTCCCTCATTTGCTTGAAGGACAATTCACCCAGAAAAATTTGGTTGCTAACTCAGCTTTGAATTGAATAATGTTCCAGGGTTGTGATCAGTGGGAGTTCAGAGTGCTGGGCCTAAATCCAATTTAGAAAAAGTTTGCATTTGAACAAGTGTTTGATGGTTCTCCAAAAAACATACAAGACTAGAGCAACAGAGATACATTTCAATTCAGAACTAGCAGCGTATTATTTTTATCCTCAAATTTTCCATATGAGTCACCATCAACAATTCAATATTATACCTTTCAAATACTTGAATTATTAATTTTCCAATAAACGTCCACTGCATATTTTGTCAAAAGTCTCCATTTCTGTGTCGGGGTCCAGCTCGAGGAAAGAGAATTATTTCATCTCTATGTCTTGCTTCTTTCCCTCACTACATGAGGCATTTACCCCTCACTTTATCATGCTTTTTCTTCCCTCATCATGCCACGCCTTTTCTTTCCCTATTATTTCAGGTTTGTCCTCATCGTATCAGTTATTTCTCGTCATGTCTGGCTTCTCATGCCTTAACGTATCAATCTTATTCTTTCCTTGCAATATCACGCGTTTTCTTTTTTTTTTTTTTTGAAATATCAGGGTTTTTCTTGTCACGTAATGTCAACCTGTCACTCAGTGTCACAACAGGCTTTTCAATAATAGGATTTTCGCAAGTCTATATCTTCTTTCGTTGAACTTTGAACGCTGTCAAGTTTTTCCTGAAATAGATTGCTCAGNAATGGTGTCGCGCGCGAATTCGTGCAAATGCTCCGTGAGGTTTTATAAAAATATTGTTATTGTTAATTTGAGGCACCTTGATGCACAGCCTTTGTGGAAAGAAGAAATAAGCAAAGTACTAAACAAATTGATACATATAGGAATTGGATGTACATTTGCATTTTTGTACAGCAGAAATATTCACCTTTCGTGACTATCAATTTTTCGAGTCAAGTTGTATAAGAACCATGGAATGATCGCACTTTTGTATTCAAAAGAAAAAGAAAAGTAATCATCTCATCTTTCATGCTTATTCACGCTGAGCATCAGACGAGGTAGATTCATCCCTACATGATCTCACACCCGAAGGTCCCCAAGGGATTACGGCACATTTCCATATAAATTAAAGAGAGTTAAAACTACCCCTAGAAAGGTGGGGCTTCTTAAGTTTTCATTTGCGTGGATCACCAACTTTTCCACAGAGTTTGCTAGTTGCAAAAGTCAGCACACGCTGGCTGCTGGACGCATGAGCAAATACAGCCCCATGTGTTTAAAAATAAAAATATTCGTATTTGAAACTTCAATTTTATATCCTCAGAGAAAACTTGTAATAAGACACTCGTCACAATTACAGTGATACATTGACTTACGAACTTAATTCGTTCCGTAACTGAGTTCGTATGAAGAAATGTTAGTAAGTGGTAACTATATTGGTGTTGAAAGTGAATTATAACATGAATGAATAAAACATATTTTTATATATTTATTATTCGGTGCTATAGCACCGAATCGGTTTATAAGCATCGAATCGGTTCTGAAATTCGATTCCCAAGCAGAAACATGTTCGTATGGCAAAATATTCGCCAAATTCCGATTCATATCTCGCAAAGTTCGCAAAAAGATAGGTTCATAAGTCAAGGTATACACTGTATAGATTTAATTAATTTCAAAGACTGACTATGACTGTAATGCCTAGAATATATTTCATAAATTTATATTCTGAATTACCGTACGTCTGGCTTTGCTTGGGAATATTCGAAAATTATATTTATGCAAATAAAGAGGATGCTCGGTGATGTCGCTCAGAAGACTGACAACCTCGCTCACCAAAAGCATTTTATCTCACAACTTCAGCATATACAGTATATCTAAATAGTTCAATTTATTTTCTACCCGAAGAAAAACAAACTTTGTTCCCTGCAGCAAAATATGTTAAACGGTCATAAACGCGTAACTTCATCTGAACGTAATCAGTTTTTACTAGATGAAAATTTTGAAATATTTCTTCACTTATCCTCTGTCATTGCAGACGAGACTTCATTAGCACACATTCAAGTTTTATAAAAAAATAACGCATAGTAATTTTTTCTATACGAAATAACCTGAAAATAATCGCATATAATTTACACACATTATTCGTCATCTTTATTGATCCCTCGTTATCGTATAACTACTAAATATTATTTCCACCTACTTATAAATTTAATAGTCATAATTTTATCGGAAATTATCCATTCGTGCCCGAAATTATAAACCTCTGAACCAAAACAAATACTTTCGCATTAATTAAATCGGCATTTTATATTCATTGTACAATAATAAATGTAAAATAGCTCATTACTAAAAGTCTGAACGCTTCACGTTTCCTGAAGGAAGACGTCAGAGAGGCTCTCGTGAAATTCATGAGCAGGATGATGGGCTGACAGACGCAATGATGGGTTGACAGACGCGATGATGGGCTGACAGACGCGATGATGGGCTGACAGACGCGATGATGGGCTGACAGACGCGATGATGGGCTGACAGACGCGATGATGGGCTGACAGACGCAATGATGGGCTGACAGACGCGATGATGGGTTGACAGACGCGATGATGGTCGATGATGGGCTGACAGACGCGATGATGGGTTGACAGACGCGATGATGGGCTGACAGACGCGATGATGGCCTGACAGACGCGATGATGGGCTGACAGACGCGATGATGGGCTGACAGACGCAATGATGGGCTGACAGACGCGATGATGGGCTGACAGACGCGATGATGGGCTGACAGACGCGATGATGAGCGTGCATTTCGCAGCACCTGGAAACGAATTTAAATCAGCGTCGAGTGAGACACTCAGTCTGGATGCAGGGAGATCCGCATGCAAATTGCTCCTTGTGAATAGTGTCTCTTGAAATGTCTTTTATTGGAGCATGAGGCGGCATTAGCATAGAGAGAAATGCTACGGTCTTGGTACTTGAATGGCATGTTTTTTATATTATTATTTATTATATATATTATTGTTATTATTTTATATTATATATTATATTACCTACCTTGCCATATTTAAAACATATACGAGCTCAACAGTCGACGATGATTGCTCGACCTTCGTTAATTCCACACAGATTTGTTATCGTCCTGTGTCCTGATAACGATGCGATGTCCAACGCAGAGCTCTTCGGCATTGGCCTGCGAGAACAAGAGAATTGCATCGTGGGAAATAAAATAGCCAAATCTAGTTTGCAAAGAGCTGTGCTGGGACTAGGAAAAGAATGGCGCATGCCTGGAATTTGAGTCATTTGAATCTGTCGCCGTAAAATTGTAGGTGAATGCCGTGTTCATCCATTGCAGATGCCTCAAATTTGGAACATGAACGATCCATTACCACGCATTAGATTTATGAAGTTGACATACTTGTTTTCTTATTAATTTTTTTCATGATGTAAAATCTATTCTCCAATATATTTCATAAAAACTTTCCCATAAAGATTGAAATCTCTCTTATCTCATTTCGTTCATTTCTATTATCTTCATATGCATTTTGTTTGTGGTTTGGAATGATAACAGTTTTTACCACGGCAAAAGTAAAAAACTTTAGTGATAAAAATCTGTAGTTCGAATTTATTCACGAGCTAAACATCACCGTTAGGTCCTAATAAATACATGTTACAAGTTTTATCGAGCTGCGTTCATTAGTTTGGGAGATATTCCTTGATCACTGAATTTGGAGATTGGCCGTGAGACCGACTGCGAGACCGGTCACGAGTCCGGCCGTAAATTTGAATCGAATTTCAAGTGCTGTAAATTTAATCCATTTCAGTTAGATTATAATAATGAAAAGCCTATTTACTTTTTGTTATTGGTTCACTACAGGAAGTCACGGAAATTGTGGCTCATTCCAACAAATAATACCCAACGCACTTTAACCGCAAGATTGTGAGGCTCTTATGCAAATATCAACTATTTTGTAAAATCCGTATTAGCTCGAGATTCTGTCGATGGCATGATGGTGGCGGCTCCGGCGATGGCGTGACGCGAGTGCGCCATAAAAGGGCGTTAGAGCTGCGCAGAGTAGAGCTGCGGTCTCAGGCATGACGCTCTTCTAATATAAGCTCGGCTAGTAGCTCCCTCGAGTAGGGAGAAGTAGCCTATCTACACTCCACCGACTCCCCCTACCGACTTCATTATTATTATCACTCCGCCGCCTGCGAGGACTTTGCGGTGCGACCCAGATATACGTAGTACTTGAACAAAATACAAAAGAATGACTGATGAAGGGCTGAAAAAATTTTTTATTGATTTGTCAACATAATTTTATTTAAATTTCAAGTACCGAAAAATATTCGATGTCTTTCTTCTCCAGCATCTACGCCAAACACGTTTGATTCTCAGGGAAAACCGATTGCAGATGTGGCATTTGATTTGGCTCAAAATTCACCATCAGATTCATCCTCAAGATTCAATTCTCGCAAAGACTTGGTGTGGAGAAAATACGTCTTTTATCCTTTGGACCCAGCTGCCTGTTCGCTCTCAACATTTAGGCTCAGAAATGGTCCGGTGTCGAAAGATTGCGTGCGATCGAGCGGCGCCTTTTCCAGCACCGGGGGTCAAATTGCCTGTCAATAACGAGAGCGATGCGAGGCCTGCCCCCTGTGCTGCAGGCTGCGCGCAGCCTTCTCCACTTGGCAGCTGCAATTTTGTGCTCAAGACAATAAAATTTCTTTAACAAATTTATTTGATTTCATATGATAAAAAATAAAAAATTATAATCGTTCTAAAGATTCTATTAAATTAATGCTCACATTACAATTTACAATCATACTTCCGGTAACATTAAATCATATTTCGCTAATAACCTAGGGAATGAAATAGCCAAAATTTAGACAAGTTTTCCATCTGAAATCTCCGGTTCTTTGGGGGATTGAATTCCTATCGCATCTGTTGGGGTATCGGAACGCAATTATTTTTGATGGAATTCCGCACACATATGCAAGTTCAATTTTTTATCGATTACTAACATTTGCAGAATAAAATGTGACAGTTGATTAAAGTAAACAGTAATGGTTTCTTTTTATCATGGGATTTAAATTGCTCCATTCTCTACTTTCACCAATCATGACCGTTCAAATTTCGACTTCTGCAGCAGTCGCATCCCTCTCGTTTTTTTTACCGTCACTTGACGGGCTCAAGATCTTTCGAGTGTGCAGTGATCCAAGCTTGAGAGATCGCAAAGTAATTCAGCATTTTACTGGCAGGCTTCAATAAAATATCAGGCAATCTCTGGGACTCGAGCACCGTTTTACGACCCGGCAAACCTGAGAGACGAGGGGCGGTTGCCTTCAAGCACGACACTCATGGTGCGAGAAATTGTCGTCTCTTTAACGTATATTTTTACGTGTGTACGTCAAGCTGAGGGACATTAGTTTTGTGATAGATTATTGGCACAAATTCTTTCGTGTTATTGATGATTATATTCAAAAGTGAACTCTGAATTTGCTTCAGTCTCCAATTGGTTTCAAACAGTGCATTTTGTGCAAACATATCACTCAAAATTCACTGTAACTTACAATCTTTCGGCAAGCATAAAAAAATTATGTATACTAAATTGCTATGCGCACATGGAATTATCATGGTAATTATTATAAATTATCATCGGATCTGCTTGCTCAAGTTAATATGGCTATGTTCAGTTTTGAGCACCGGTCTATTACAGTGCATGAGACTACCATGCGAAGAAAGTCTATTCTCCCGTCGACACCCAAGACAAAAGACTCGAGGATTTATTTTACAAGCGAGCTTTACTTAACGACTGCTCGACGATAGGGATTTTCTCCTCGACCGACCGTGAATACCACCATTATTCTCTAGAGCTAACCCTATAAAACGCGTGCTTTTCGCAACGCCATCTTTTATGGGGAGTCCCTATTTTTCCAGTCGAAATCGGCAGGTGAGATCACCGGCGCTCGACAAAATAAATTCTGGAACAAGCAATATTCGGTGAAGCTTGACTTTGTTATGGGCATTTTATCTTAGCCTTCATTCAATGTAAACATCAAAATTTGCTTAAGACAGTTGCGAAAATATAGTATACACGTAAATATTTGGTTCACGGGAGCGACAGATTGCATATTAATAAAAAATAATATCAAGCTAATTAAGCTTGTACGATCTATGAGGGCACTTAAGCTAAATTTCTTAACCTAACAGTATTAAAACAACCATCGAGCGTTTAGATTTCTAGATTCAATTTTATTTTTGCTGATTTTTTTCTTCGTATCTGATTAATTTTGGTTTGTTGCAGGCACAATCAATATGTACCATACGTTCGGGTCAATGTCGCATTCTCCTTGAAATGAGACGTATCATGATCAACGAAATTCTAACAACATATTTTGTCAATGAGAAAACGATTAAAAATGAAAATTATACCATTACATTTTTCGTACATTTTTGTTTCTGTACGAAAAAATGGTTGAGAGAAGAATGGTTGAGTCCCTCAGTAACTCTCACCACTTGGCCGGATGCGGGTGGCTGTATAGCATCACAAATTGGAACGAGCAAGTCTCGGGCCTGAAAGAGAACAGAGCGCAAATACGCGCCAGTTTTTGTGCTTATATTACCGAGGATATGAAAGTCCACAAGATCAGGGCACGGGAACAAGCCTTTATTGAAGGTATGAGAGTTGATTCGCTGCCCATACATGCTTGTTTGGTCTTCGTTGAGTGGAAACAAACCGTTCGACGCCAAGTGAAATCCATTTCGGATAACGCAAATTATACTAGAATATTAGTCTCTACCTAATGTTCCGATCTAAGATTTTATATCGTTTTCTCCGTGAATGATATTTTCATTACATCGTGTTTACAAACTACATTTTTGTTCGTAATTTGAAGGACTCGTAAATGCCTCAACTGACCAAGCAAATAACTCCTCGAATTATTTGGTCCTCGTACACAGCAAACTTGTCGGGATCACTCGCCCAAGAGGCGTCATCGGCGCAAGTTTATCTGTAAAGTACGGCACTCGAGTGACAAGCGACGACGATAAACTAAAATCATGGCCAACAGGTTTGAGCGTTTTCGTTATGAGCCAAACTCCCCCATAGCTTCCTGGAGGAAAATTTCAGCAGCCTTTATTGTACCAACGACCGAGACATTCAGGACTCCCTAGAGAAAAGCCATCCACGGACTAATCAGAAGCCGGCAAACAATCGTAATTTCTTGCCAAAAGGAAGCATTACACTTGAAACACAAAAGTTTGGGCGTTTGCCAAGAAGAATGGCTGGTATCTATGACAATTTTATTTTTTACGACATTTGTTGAGGCGAGTTGTGCCGCAGACTGCCGCTTCTCTTCATGTAAAGCGAGCGCCTCTGCTTATCTTTAATTGGCTGCGACGGCTCCAGTTGGACTGTCTCGTATCAGATAAAATAAAGGGAAATAAAGTCCATCTTCTGGCGTGGGCTCGTGATGCGCAACGGCCTGAGGGAAGGCTTTCCGAGATAAATTTTGTTCATCTTGAATAATCTTAATTTTTCTTGAATAATTTCGCATGGAGATGCAAAAGAAACGCAAAATAAGTTACGCACGAGTGAAATTTTTGGAATAATTATAGGAGGTGAAATATTTATTATTATCAATTTTTTATCCTGATGCAAAAAAAATCATTTAAAAAAATTTATGATTGATGAAATTATTTTGATTATTTCAATCAATTGATGGGTGATGAAATTATTATTTTGGATTGATGATTGATAAAATTATTCTGACGCTCTTTCGTGGTGTTAATTGATCCCACTTCAGCATTTGAGGAATAGAATTACACTTCAGTAACGTGGGCCTTTCTACAGTCACTGCTGAGCTACAACAGCATTACGCACAACATATATGAGGCACTAACAGATACTGCAAGTCCCAAGCAGCAGAACTAATGTCCACCTGCACTCCTTCTTTCCCTCGGCCATCGGAATATGAAACAATAAACTGGCTGCTGAAGTCGTGGCAGCAACATTCCGTCCTATACCCTCAAGTCAGTCGTGCAAGGCAGGCTGACCGAGGGCGTCCACTAGTCAGTCATCCTATACCTGCAAGAAACTCTTCACAACGGCTTTCGTCAAGATTTTTTGCTGCCGTGTGCGTGTGCACCACCTCCAGTAGTTGATCTTTTCTTCAATTTGAGTATCCACTGTACCATGAAGAAGAGAAAGAGGAAGATCTCTCTTATTAAGTTTAAAACGTTATTGTGCGCACCGCTGACATATTGCATACACCGCCAGCTCATTGTAAATATTGTTTATAGCAGCTCATCTTTAAAATAGCTAGCCTATTGAAAACATTATTTAAAACAGCTAATTATACACACCGCAAGCGTATAGAAAATATTATAAACTCAAGCATGTTTTACGCACTGCTAGCTCATAGAAAATATTATTAACTGAAGCTTATTTCATGCACCAACAGCTCACTGAAAATAGTATTAACACAAGCTTATTTTACGCACTGGAAGATCATTGAAAATATTATCATCCCAAGCTTATTTTACGCAGAGCCAGCTAATTGACAATATTTTTATCTCAAGCTCATTTTATGCATTGCAAGCCTATTGAAAATATTATTAACTAAAGCTTTTTTTACGCACTGCAAACTTATTGTACGAGTAAACACCGTACGATGCGGTATGTGCAAGTGCAAATAGCTATGACACCTACGAAATGATAGCATTTAAATTATGTCGTTAAGGCGCAATAATAATAAAAATTGCCTGGCATACAAAATTACACGTAGGTATATCTAGGAAGCAATTAGAATAGATACTTTTTTACGATTTGAATGATGTCTCGCGATCGATGTTGTGGCACTTAAAGTGAAGGAGGAGATTGAGTTACATAGGATCCAAATTTATGCTGTTATCTACACATTTCAGGTTTTCTTTCAATATTTAAAAAAAAAATCATTAGAGCAAAATATATTTCATTTAGTGATTCTGTATACGAAGTTTTGGAAAGATCGATCATTTAGTTTAGGAGATAATTTTGAGGGGAGACCCACCCCTTAAAACCCCTGAGAAGTGCTTAAACACACAAGTTTACGAATAACGGAATATTTTAAAGAGGATAAAGCATTTGTAAGACAGAACATAATTACAGTTTTCATCGATATTTGGCAAGAATAACAATTTTTGAATACAAAATTTGATGGAAAACTAACATGAATTAATCATTTCAATCAGAATTCCTAACTGGGTTATGATTTACAAGCAAGTAAACGAATTTAAATGCAATATACATGGCAAATGATTTGTGAACTGTTAATCTTTAATTAATTTATTTTTTCATGCAAAGAAGCCTCTCCCTTTTATTCAAGAATAAAGTTGTGTTTCTTAGCAATATAATAAACTTATCACAAATGTAATTATTCCACATCACAATTTTTTCTTTCGGATTTGTAGCTTCTCAAATAAGTAACTTGTCTTAGAATTTTAATTGTGGAATTTTGGATGTAATATGTTGAGTCATTTAAGATTAGGAATACTTTCATTTGGGCACCTGTCAGAGCAATAATAGTAAAAGCCTGATCCATTCGCATGTACAGAATATATAATCAATAAAGCGAACAAACAGATGTGTGAGTAAAGGTCATACATATAGAATCATCATCGCGATTTACCTTTATTCATTCCACACATCAATGAAATATATATAACAATTACCTTTTTGTCATGAATAGGAGAAGCATTCGCAAACCTTGCGAATGCCTTCACTATTTTATAGCAATTCATTTAGTAATTTAAGTAAGCCAGAGAAGTTCTGGAACTGAATTTTGCTCTAGTATAGAGCGGAGGCCGCCGACAAAAATTCCCATCATGAACAACTTTTGAAGACAGCCAATTATTGTGCGCTGGGAACGCCTCGGTGTGGTCATGGTGGCAAGCATCGTCGGCTATTTAAGGCGCCCTGACATTAACTATAGAACGAGACTACCGAGACCTGCCATAGCAATTAGGTATGATGGCCACAGTACTGCCAGAGACCGGACCTCAAATGAGAACTTCCGAGAGGCAAAGTTTACTCTTCAAGTTGCTCCTCCGAGAGAGACATGGTCAGTTTGTCAAGCAGCCTCTAGCCGTTAAAAGAAGGAACCTCCTACAGGCAAAATCATTTCCAGCAAGATGAGAATGAGTCCTGCGGGAATCCTTTATACTTTCGAGTTTAAATTAAGACTCACTCGGGCTATCGTTTCAGAAATATATACAACAAATCATATAAAAAAATTTTCCTTGTATATTAAGGCTTTAGTTCTCTCAGACGTCACAAAATTTCAAGGGCCAAATTTACCCTCCAGAAGAAAAATTCCGCTA